TGTGCGATAATGGAAACCCTGGTTTTTGGAGTCTGAGAATGCAAAGCGGTGATTTGCTACCTTTACTTTAAATATCAATAATTCAAAACACACGAGATAGCATGCGTTGTATGGATGAAGGAAAATAGGGCTTGGAAGACTTAGGGGTTTGCACGTTATTGATCAACCCCCCCCCTTCATTAATCACTGGATTCTTATGAAACGAATCGATTTTAAGAAAATGCTTTGTGCCTTTTNTTTTCTTCACAGGAGAAGCAGTCGAATTTCGTTTCAGCGGATTGAGACGGTTGATTTCTTTGTCCGTTTCCCAGAAAATATCGGACTTTACTCGTTCAGCTACACCTAATGCGTTTGCCACGGTCGACGATGTCCGTCCTACAATGGCTGACAACCATGAATGGCTTTTTACGGGCAGTGGAAGGGCAAAACGAAGCTGTCAGTCTTCCACACCAGAAGATGTACAGACAAATAAAGAGTTATAGGGACGTTCATTGGTCTGTGAGTCCTGAGCACGTATTGCCATTTGACACGGTTTCCTGGGGTAAAATTGAAATTGAACCGCAGCTTAAATCTCCACCAAAATGGAGGTTTTCCGGCTTAGTGAATCACTCATGGGGAAACTCTTATTTTAACTGTCCGTCCGTAGCGAAGGCCTAGATTTTCAGCCCTCAACTCCTCGTCGCGTACATTTTTGTAATCACGAGCGAAGTTCATATATCGGTTTGCATCCCTGATACGTTTTCACTCCGAGGCCATCGTTGTTTGGTCACAGTAGTTCACCTCATCTAACTTCGGCGACCACTGTCTTTAGCAAGGCATTAATGCTCCAGGTGTTTCTACGACCAATACTTTCTAATTGCAGAAAAACAGAAATTCTTTGACGTTTCTATGGCGGTAACATAGAGGTAGAACAAGCAGAGCAACACACGCACTGGATGTGAATCAGAGTAAAGCTGGGACGTCTATCGATTGAACATGATTCACCGATACCAGCGGAGTCTGATTGTCTAGGGGAGGTACACGGAGACACAGTCACAGCGACGGATACGCGTATGTCTAAGGTAAATGGCAGAGATATGCTATGGGATTTGGTGGATGTGTGACCGAGGCAGAATGCAATGTGCCCCCCCCCCCACCTTCGAGATGCGGCAAGAGTCTGGGAAATCTATGGTGAGTTCCTTTCATCCTGGCGTAACTATGAGGCTTGAACTGTAAGTCTATCTGACGACGATGATTCAATCGGGAACGCAGTTTGTAAAGATACTCTGATGACTTGAAATGATGATGACACTTGGAAAATTTTAGTTGATACTGAGACATATTGAATTGAAGAAGTAAATTTTATCAAAGGATAAATGAATATACTTTATACTTATTCGGGTTTTTATTCGGATACATAAGTACTTATAGATAAGATTCAAAGGCAGCTGAGCAGCAGCATGAAATACGCGATGGAAACGGAAATACTTGTGATTTATCTATGATTATTAAACAGGTAGACATAGCGACGAACATTTTTAAAGAAAGGAACGCAAACATATGTGGTAATTTGAATAAATTGCAGGTATTACTACGTAATTGTTCGCTTTCCGGTATGCAACGAAACGTGTTATCACAGGCTGAGATAACATCTATGGATAGAACTGATATGCTAGATTGCCTTCCCTTACCTGATCGATATATCGATTTTCATGTGCTTGCATCATACACTGCTATGCCTGTTTTCATTGTTGGGCAGCGGTGTATACGATAACTACTCCACCTTTACGACAAATTCCGATGTGATGTGATTGTCATCCGTCAGCACACAAATTTATCACAGACTAAACACCGGATGTCGTAACTGTACTGGTTGATGCACACAATGTCACAATATCCATCTCCGATCTTTCCCGACTGCATACGCCCCTTCACTTCTCTAATTCCAGTCGATAAAGCTCAATCTTTGATTTGTAGTTNNNAACATATGAATTTACGAAAAATGTACACTGTATGTACTTCCTACCCGGTCTGGGTAATGAAGCGATTGGGAGGACTGAAAACGTGTCCCTCAGGATAAACTGAAAACCTTATACAAACTAATAATTTGAACTCGTGTGAAAACCTTCAGTGAATTTACATTGCACCGGTTTACAAGGGCGATGTTATTTATCATTGATGTCAGTTATTTCTACGAGGGCTGGCAGAAGTTCTTATCACGCGAATACCAAAACAAAATATCTCTACGGCAGTGCAATCGAAAGGGACAATCATTGTTTGTGCCCTCCCCTATTACCCTCTCGTTCATCTGTGAGAACATTACACATTTCATTCAGTTCAGTTTAGAATACTAGCGGACGACCACAGATTATTGTCTGGTATTGTCTAGTAATGCGGTTTTAGATCATCTAATCAAAACGTGTTCACACACGGACTATCGTTGTCTCGATTTCAAGTCCATAATCTGAGAGCGGGTGAGAGGGGGAAGGGAGAATGCAGAAGTTCGTCCGAGCGCAACTTTTTTTTTTTTATTTGATGTGACTCTTCTGCTCTTGGATCAAGTAACACGTCATTTTTTGTCGTGGATATTGAAGCCGGTGAACCAGGCTTATTTGGGCATAGTAAGCCAACGAGGACTGCTTCGGTCACGGCTAGTGTCCAAACTTGGATTTTCTTCTACTGATTCAGTACAATTCGATGCGCAATTCAGCTTTATTAGACATCGTTTTCTGAACGAACTATTATTAAACTCGATGTACGCGTCCTGCGAAAAAAGACAAAGGTTAACTGGACTGATTTGATCTAACGAATCGATCGACTACACACGTTAAGAGTAGAAACTGAGATCCGGTGGATAGACCATGGGCATGGCATGTACTTCATTAATGATAAGTTTATCGTATTTACGTTCGATTAGCATAGAAGAAACCATCTTTACTAAATTAATGAAAGTCAATATAGAAAGAAGACAAATGTCGCGAGATTTTACCATTTCATTTAATCTTCTCAGTCGCTGATTTGAAACAAACAGGCACATATAAAGCACATGGGATTAATCAATTATGGTGAACGAATGTAGAGTTGACCTTCCACTTCTAAATTTAGTAATTCTTGTATGCCTGTGCACGTTCGTTTACCATAATTGTTTAATCTCATGTGCTTTATATGTGCCTGTTTGTTTCACGTCAGCGACTGAGAAAATTAAACGAAATTTTAACATCTCGCGACATTGATGAAAGTCAATACCTCACACTATCAGTCAAAATGTCTTTGAACGTGAATGAAACATCATAATAACAATGTTGGACTTGTTATTATAGCCGACAAACACATGATGACAGAAATCTTACGCGAAAAGTACTTCCCACGAATGACCGCAAGAAATCTGAATGGAGAAACCGAGGGTCAATGTACCTCGGCGTCAACCGTTTTGGGTCTCATCAATAGTGCTGATGCATCGACTAAACTAAAAAGCTGGTCATATTTGTATGTGCTACTCCAAGGAACACCGGAAATCTGTCAAGACTACTCCCCTCTGTCCATGTTTACAAGCTTGCTGTTACCATTGATTGTGAATCACCGAAGAATTGAGCTCCGTCGATTCAAGCTCGGTCTAGCCGTAAAAATCCTTTGTACAGTCGTATTGAATCCTGCGCTTATTCTCTGATGATGTAGGTAAAAATTATACAACTGTAACTTTCCATATGACACTGAGAACGTTAATTACGCATGTCATCGCAGAGTATATCAATTTGGACTAATGGGTTTCGAATCAGTAGATGGATGGTGATAGACCTCACCAATAATTTCTAGGTTTCACGATATAGATGAAGTGAATTGTCGATCGGTTAGCAGTAATAATACAGCGCAAATTTATCCCACACCCCGCACACGTACATACAGACACCGGGATGAAAAAGATACTAAGTTTGAGAGCTAGTGTTCAGTAATCGTTTTATTTCTTTTCAGGTTGTTAGTTCCCCACATGTCAGATTACTTTCATGATTCATTAAAAATCGATTAACTCCGATTCACTGTTGCCAGCTTTTGAACATCAATCGTATGGGTTTGAGGTAGCTCTTTCGAATCTCATTCCGAAGGTTTATAATCCGATCTCCGATAGGGACAAAATTCTCACGACCGCCAACAGGAAACGAAACAGCCGCCCAAAGTTGTTCGTCCGTCCTGACAAAGAATTCCATCACCGATAGAGCTGTGTAATACCTTTCAGAAAATTTTGTATTATGTAGGACAAATGGGCATTTCACGATAAAAGTTTCTGATGTAACTTCATGATAGTTGTCTCGTTGATCTCAAGATTGGCTTGTTCATTTTACTCTATTCAAAACATTCTTCATTTGCACCGCTCATACGATTTATGAAGCTCTGATTAAACTTCCTATGCAATTGTAACTTGAAGAACTTCACAGAGCAATTGGTATATTTCTTTTCTTTCTATAAACCAACATTTCAGATAGATCGGTGATGTCAGTGATAACTGTGAGACTCTGGAAAGCTAGGCCAGTAAGAATAACAATCATACATGAGCTTGATATCATCTTTTCTCAACAATCTGAATATCAGCTAATAGCAGTATTTACCTGTCTCGGCTCCGAAGACCGTTTGAAATGCGATGTGATTTTTTGATATCCTTTATTCACTGGGAGTCAAACATCTGTTCTATGTATTTCTTCTTTAATGTAATTCTAACCGACAGGTTTGAAAAAGCACGCAACACAGTGTGTATGGAACAAAAGGTGTGGAAACCGGGTGATTTAGCAGACAATGAAGGCTTTTTTCTGATCGGAGCAATCGTATCTATTTAATTTACGGGAATTGAATTCAAAGGTGTTTCGAACAATTCAAGTTCAAAAAAAAAATCAAATTCTCCAATTCCCAATCTTGACCACGTTTCTATTGCCTTCCTCTCGAACAATTTGTAGAAAACCATACTGAAGAATGGCCTCGGTCTATCCGGTCGTCTTCAATCCTCTTCCTGTTTGACTTCGTTTGTTTCGCGAATGGCAACTGAAACGAACGATCAAACAAAACCAGTTTGTCCGGTTAATTCGTGGAATGAATGGGATCCACTGGAGGAGATTATTGTGGGTATTCCAGACTACGCTACAGTCCCGCACTTGGTTCCGGAAGTTAAAGTATGTTTACTTTGTTTGTGTTTAGGCGTAGAACATTCTTGCTTCACTTTCAGCTTTCTTCAATTTGGGTGCAGCGACGTCACAATAGTGCATTAGTCTTACCTATTTCAAATAGGACACAAAATCCAAGAGGTTAATGATGGGTTTCAAACGAATCGTTATCAAACACAACCACTAGGTAACAAATTTAGCAAACCACTCCCGTTGTTTTCTTTTGACCAGTTAGTCCCGTAATTCGAAAATGCAACAAGAAAGCTATGGAGTCAGAAAGCTATCGACAACATCTTACATAATATTCCATTGCGTACCACAGTCGTTTTATCAATCAAAAAACATGAACAATTGACGTGAAGCACAAAACTTTGTGTATGCATAACATAGTACTTATTCATTCTTCTCCATTTATATTTTATAAAACAATTATAGAGTGTAGAATATGATTACGGGTCACAGACATTGTCTTATTTTAAAATGTGAAACCTGTCTTACGTTTCACAGTCGAATGTTGACAAAGTATTGAAAATCAGTTCTTGTAGCTCGGTGAACAGGCGAAATGGAATAGTCGAAGGTGTTTTCGTTGGTAAACAGATTCTGATTATCGCTATTGGCTTTAAAGTAGCTTCACTCCAGCTCCCGGGGCAATAGGCCGAAGCACATTGTCTGATTTAATTCCGTGGATTCGCTGATTTCACTCCCATCTGATATCTGTTTATATGGCGGTTAGCTCTCTCTAGTGATATCCAAATGAGACCGCTTAAAATATTACCTTTAATCTACTTCTAAGACGTTTGTGGATTGACAATTTGGTTTACTTAGGGTGTCAATTAAAATGTACGGTATTTTGGAGTTCTGATTCCTAAAATATGACCAGTTCTGCCAATTGGTAAGTGTGGATGTATGTTATTTGTATCCTGATTTGAACATAGGAACCATGAAGTGATGGAATAACGGTTTTACACACGCTTTTTTCTTATTAAAAACGTTTACAACAGACGCGCATTGCCTCCAGGTTTTCTCATAAACATTTTAGAGCTAGATATGACCCCTCCCCATTCAAGAATTCCTTGACATTGGTTAAACTTAAAGGAGTTGACCTGGACTCCTCACGGTTTATTTAATTACTAAGGTAAAATTAGTAATTAATTTCAAATGCTATCTAACAGATCGTTCAAACGGAATTCTTGCAAATAAGCGCTGCTTTTGTTGGTGGCAAACCTCTTCTACCGCAGTTCCATTTCATCGTCACAGGAATGGGAGCATTTACTTTGAAAGAATGATGGTAAACGTTTGTTATTTACAGAATCATACTACTGTCGAATATTAGGAGTAAGTGATTTAGTGTAACCAAATCACTCGCCGGTGTTTTGGAACAGCAAGTATACAACAAGTAGTGTATTGCTTGAACATTGCATTATAACACTTTCCAGTTTAGTAATACAAATGATTTAGGCTGCAATAGAAATAACGTGTTCAAGATTAGTCATCGGAATCATTTCGCATTTAATAGCTAATTTTTGATGATTGACCCTGACTGATCATTTGGTAGATTTACTTAACGTCTGTTTAGTTAATCGATAGGCGCACATTTCAGTGGCAATCAAGTAAAGACGGAGTGGTGTGCCAGTGAAACACGTCAAACATTTAGATTATCGATCATCAGCTCATTTTGCATCTATCAAACATATTATCCTGATAGTGAGTCGCACACAAAACATACAATCCACCATTTGTGAGTTCACTTCTCAATCCATTATTTCCAGAGGAAGTTTAGGATTGTAGCACGATGCATATACCACCCAAAATTTGGGAATTAAAACCGAATGAAATTACGAGAATATTTTCCATATTCTCTGATCGGCTCCAAAACTTTCTGTTCATTGTGCAATTACATTTTACCTATGTTAAACAAGTTCCATACCTTGTCGTAGATGTTTGTTTCAGAAATTAGAATGATCTTCAAAAGCTTATGGTTGTCATGGAAACCCAATATTTATCTGAATTCACTTTTGTCATTAAGGTACATAGGTAGATCAGTGCAGTTCCTAGTGTTCACGATTTGACGAGGTTCTCGATCTAATTGAAATAAAATTGAAATGCCCAGCACGATAACACAGAATCTTGCTACTAGGGGTCATGTTGCATGAACGGAACATTTTCCTGCAATACTTTAAAACTGTTACAAAATGCTCTTACATTTTACTGATCCCTGCGCAACCAGATCTGTGTGGCCGAATCCAACTGGGCCTTTTTCGAGAAGAACGCGGGTAAATATTGGGCCGATGCCATGCCTCGAGATCATTGGGATCTATTGTGCCGTCAAATTAATGAATTTGTGCGCAAACTTGAACTGGAGGGAGTAAAAGTGATTCGCCCAGAACCGGTGGATCATAGAAAGTCCTACAGTCTGCTCGGTTTTCAATCTCAGGGTGAGACATTTGTACTCGTGATTACTGTTACTTTTCACTCGTGCACCAACGCTAGGTGCATTTCTCCCTCTTTTAACTGGTACAGTGTGATGTTCAAGGAAGTAATCAGTTGACAGAATTCTTGGTTCTCATCCATTTCATGATATTTTGACTCAGTGCTTCGAGTTGGCACATTTATTTGATAGCGTAAAGGATTCTGCTGAAGTTGTTGTTAATGAACGAGTTCAGAAATTGTGGTTGAAGTGAAACACATTGCACTGTTGGAAGAATGCGAAAACGGTTGCTATAATTGGTTATTGAGAAATCAATTTCAGTTGTATTTTACTCACTTTTGCGTTATCAGTCTGTCTACAGTGTGCATCAATCGATAAAAGGTACTGACGAAAATGATCATTGTGCCCACGTTACATGGTTGATTCATTTTGCACTTCCCGAATTAAGATGATAGGCCATAGAATGGGTGAACCCAAATTGTCCCCCGTTTTCTTATGGAAACCGGCAACTTAGCTTGCTGAATTAGCAAAGGCATCCGCAGGCTAGACAAAATCAGCGTCCATGTTTCATTCTAGGAAATATTAACTCACCACTACCACCATCACAGAAAACAGCACTTTCTCAAGCAAAATTTTAAAATTCAAAACAAAGCCCAAATGCTGCTGTCCTTTGTGGGACAAATTTAACTCAACTACTTTCTTCGTGAAGATATTTCCTTTGCAGTTCAGGCTTCGTTTGCTCTATGCACGACGAGTTGCTATAAATAATGATTTTTTTTAATTTGATGGAAGGACTTCGATTTCATTTTTAGGTTTTTAACCCTCACGTTCATGCATTAAAAATTTCAATAATAAATTCAGGCTACAGTAAGAATTATTCATATGTTTCAGGTTTCTACTCTGCCATGCCACGTGACTTTCTGCTTGTGGTCGGAGATGAACTGATCGAAGCAACTATGACCTGGCGTGCGCGGTATTTTGAGTACGTGTCCTATCGCCCAATAATTATGGATTATTGGAAACGAGGTGCAAAGTGGACGGTAGCACCGAAACCGACAGACTACCAGAAGTTGATCAATCAGGTATTGAGAGAAGGGATGCAGATCGATTCAAGCAAAGCACTGGTGTAATTTTATCGATCTCAGTCACCTTTCAATAAATATTTGATGGTTGGGTCTATAAATTCACACGAAACTCAATGAATCCTCTTAAAAGTGATATCTCTCAGCATCACAACTATTTCTACAAGCTCTTAATTTTCATTTGGTCGTACGTTTCACCTGGTGAGATTTTGCGGTTCTACTGGATATGTAACTAAGTTTCAAAGCATCGAAAAACGGTTTTCGTAGCTCGGGTGAACGAAATTCCATTCCACCTGTTCGCCCAGAGCTTGACAATTTGTTTGCAAACGTTTTATCACACCAGCCCAAGGTGACATCGTCAGTGCTTATGGAAGTGGCCCCCTTTCACAAGCACTAACGATGTCACCCTGGGCTGGTGTAATAAAACGTTTGCAAACAAATTGTCAAACTCGGGGCGAACGGGCGGAATGGGATAACACTAAGTTTGAAGAAATCGAAATATATAAGAAACTGTACTTTTTTCCAACCAACATTCACATAAACTCCCTAAGTGTATTTTGTTTCAAACCGGACGTGCTCTACCATCAGTGATAAGTGTTTACCATTTATTGATGTGCTTACATTAACAAATTTTCACAATTGTAGCACGTCCTCCTTAACCAACGTCTCACACATTGAACGTACCGTATTCAATTGTCAAATCAAAGAACACAATTCTAGGATTCGCAGTTGAATTTAATTCGCAATTGTTTAAACAATGTTTATGTGTTTAGCGATTCAGTGTACTCAAAAAAGAAACGTCGTTTATTTTGGTCCGCCGACAGTGGACATGGTAGTTTTATTAAGAGTGAAATGTTGTCAGAAATAGTGATATGATTTATGGGAATAGTGCTATGCAACCCAAAAGTGTCTAGTCATTTGATTTTACATGCTTTATACTTATGTCAATGCACTACACACTGCATCTATATTTATTTGCGTATAGGGTGTGTGAGGTAATGAAGGGCGGGTTGAGTGTATTATACGATTGGGCCTTGAATTCTAAGCACGTTATGTACGGGTTTCCTTGTGAGTCATTTATCGTTTTTGAGTAACTGAGGATGCCTCATACGTCTTTCGATCTTCCTTCACATACATTGCGTTGGATCGACTTAATTTTGAACTGCTAAATATCTAATTGTATGACATTATGTCAACATAATAGCAAAATTGTGGTGTGGTAAGGTCAAATAATAATATATTTTTTCAAATTCCACAAATTTAGGCACCCACAGATGTCCAATTATTTGTGGAATTGCCGGCCCAAATAAAACGGAACAAAATTGCATTATGCGTATGACACAACTAGAATGTACGACACAGGATTAAATTTAGCGTTTATGAGGTGTACAATGGTATTCATACTTTTTGAAATTGACTTTCCCGATCTTCCCGAGTGTATCCAACATATAACCAGTTGACAGATAACAATCGAGATTTAAACAGACTTAAAGGTTCTTAATAAGCGCAAATGTCAAAACCTATTTGTCTTTGTTTCTATTCTCTGACGTTCCTTTTGGACCACCATTACAGTACAACACTCATAGGATCGTATCGCTGCCATATTTTGTAGTTATGTCTGATTTCCAAGAAGTATTGCTCACCGACACTCCTTCCATTCCTAAACACATGCATCTTTGGTTGTAGGAAACGGCGAAACATTTGGAAAATCACGTTTCCGATAAGTCAAACATAGGCCACATCACCACCGAGTCCGAACCGTGTTTCGATGCAGCGGATTTTATTCGAGCCGGTCGTGATATATTTGTTCAACGCAGTCAGGTGAGGTAATATGTTGACCCATTCGCTTATCAATGGGAAATTGACTGAAATAAGCATTTTGTCTATTATCAATAATGCACAGATTTTATCAAGGGAACTAACAAGTTACTTTGCAAATCATCACAGTGGATACTGATATGCAAAACGCTGTTAAATAATACGCACTAACCATTGCATGAGGTAAGCAAGTTGAATCAAGATAATTTCTGCTAGGCTTACGGTCCTATCATCTAATCTCAGTGTTTCCTCCGGGATCGATTGAAAATTAATGGATATCGATTGCATTGAATTACAGTAATTTATCTCAAAGTCGCTACTACTATGGTGATCATTGCTTGAACTTGTTTCCTGCCGAACGATTGTAAGCCGAACAGTTGTTGCTAGCAATAACCTTAAAGTTCTTGAAGCAGAATAATTTGTAAAGACTGACCAGTTGTTTCATAGTTTTTAAATCGGTCAAGGCAGTACTAGATATTTTGTTGGAGTTTAACAGTATGTCTGCCATCCAGGGCCAGATCGGTGTTTACTGAATCTGAAGAAGCTGCGCAATTCTAACGACTCTGTTCAGTTAGCTGGATTGCACACACGCAGAGTCACATCAGTGGACAGCTCTTCGGGTGAAGTGAAAGCTGGTTGGGAATCACACAAAATTCAGGCTGAATAAACGAATTTAGCGGACTGGTAACGTGCCATATATATTCATCAACAAACATAGGAAATCAACTATGGAAAGCTTTGACTGGAATTGGAGCGACATTTGATGTC